TGAGCGACTTTGACGAGGTTGCTTGGTCTCGGCTCGCCTTTTTCACAGTATTCACTCGATTGGTCGGTTGTTTCAGGGTTGTATGCGTAGACCCAAGTCTCATCGCCAGTAATAATTTGTTTGTAGATGTCATGATAGTCAGAAAGCATTGCTTCACACGTTTTAACGCGACGCTCTTTTTCAAAGAAATTGAGAAATTTCGGCACCAAACGTGATTTGAGTCTTCTGAGGCCCAAATGATCTTTCAAAATCGCTTGCACTGACCCAAATGATATTCCAACCATGTCAACAAGGTCTCGAATGGTTAACCGACAATTTGCAAGCACCAATTCTTTGATTTTGTTGATGTGGCAATCATCAATCGAAGTCGATGATCGTCCGGAGCATTCCAAGTCATCAACACGTTCTCGGCCTTCTTTAAAGTCTTTGTACCACTTGTAAACATTTTTTTGAGACATAGTCTCTTCACCGAAGGCCTTTTGCAACATTTGATACGTTTCAGCAGCAGAAATATCATTCCGCAAACAAAATTTAATAGCACTTCTTTGCTCAACAAAATTAGACATCGTGAAAATCGCCGAATGCACTTTTGGTACTTCAGAAACAAGCGTAAACAAAAAAAAATAATTATGAGTTTAACATGTAATTTGGCGCAAATGTTAATGACATTCCTACCAACTTAAAAATAAAAAAGATTGGACGATTCGAATAAGACGGGAAGTTCAAATTAAAAATTCACCTTACTTTTTGATCACAGTAGTATGTATATATATATATATATTTAAATATATATGTATATTTAAATATATATATATATCTACTATAGCATATTTATATGCGCAATTGCTCACTTTTTTTGCTAGCCTAAATTAAGTGAGCATTTTTAGAAAACGATGAGGGAAAACAAAGAATAATGAATGAAAATGTTGCTGACCCATACCAAACCCTCAGATGTAGCAGCACTCCACGGCGAGTCAGGCTATTTGTCAGTCGATGTATGTACTGAAGCCACCGGCAGCAGGCTATTACAGTATGACGTCATCATGCTCACCTAACTCAGCAGTATAAGATATACACACATGTGTGTGTGTGTGTGTGTGTGTGTGTGTGTGTGTGTGTGTATATATACACACACATACACACATATGAATAAAAAACTGACCTTATCCAGTTAAATCAACATACTGAAGCAATGAGTTATATTTGGATTTCCTTAGAATTAAAAATGGCACCGTGCTGCATCAAGCACATTTTATTGTAAAAAAATAAAAATAAAAAAAGATAGCATAAATAGATTATTTATATCAACTTAAAATATATTTTAAAGAGTATTTGTAACTTTTCCAATACATTTTTTAACATTTTTAATGGAGACAACTCAATAATTATATAAATTAGCATTCAAAATCAAAGTCATTACAGAAAATTAATTAAGATTTCATTTAATCCAATTCAACTTGACATGTTTTTCATCATCATATTTATCATCACCACCACCACCACTATCATCATCATCATCATCATCATCATCATCATCATCATCATCATCATCATCATCATCATCATCATCATCATCATCATCATCATCATCATTATCATCATCATCATCATCATCATCATCATCATCATCATCATCATCATCATCATCATCAGTATATGGTTCTCTGTTCATTATTGCAACACAGTCATCGCATAATTTTAGATTTAAGCTGTTCCGCTACTGAACTTTCTGAGTGAAAGTAAATTTTATATAATATATTAATTAACAAATCTTGTACTCGATTTTCAAAATCTTTTCTTATAGAGTGTTTACTTTGCTGAACCTAATATTTACTTAATCGAATGTCCAACAAATATAAACTTTTGAAATAAAAAAGATTTTTTAGGAACTTTGGTTTAAACTGTAGGTGTTGCATTACCAAAATTACACAGGTTGCATTGGGTACAAATATTCTCAACATTCGGGGTAGGAGGGACTTTTTCACATTTACATTTTAAGTATTTTTATGAAAAATTTCAGTTTATAAATCCAAACTAATTTTTTTTTACAAAACACGCATAAGGAGTAGTCCATAAATTACATCACACAGTTTTTGACATTTATTATATATATATATATATAATAAATAACATATTATACATTCAAAAGTATTATTTTATGAATAAAATTTTTATTCAAAAAATAATACTTTTGAAAGTATATTATATAATATTATTTATTATTTATATATAAGTATATTAATATTTATGAAAAAGATTGCGATGAATGTATATCTAAGTTAAAATCAAACAAAATAATTTTCAGAAGCAATAAAAGATTTTTATGGATGAATGCACAACTGAAGCACAAATTAAGACTTATAAGAAACCTTTAGTATGGCTACAAATTATCTGATTTTAAAAATAAATAACATGTGTTTAATTAACTAATCAAGAATATAAAGAAAAAAATAAGAGTAATAAATTTAGTTAAAAGTAGCATAAAAGCATACGAAAAAAATTGCAGTTGATATCAAAACAAAACCCAAAGCAAATTTATGCCTATATCAAAATTAAACTTAAAGTTAAGGACCACATAAAGTCACTTACTACTGATAAAAACAAATTATCTAATGATGTACAGTTTATAGCAAACTATTTAAACATGTTCTTCTGTTCCGTATTTACAGATGAAAATCTTTAAGTTATTCCATTATGTAAAAGTGTAACAAATTCAATTTGTCCAATTCCTTTGTTCAATGAAACTGATATAGCAAACAGATTATCTAAACTTTATGTAAACAA